TATATCAGTCGAGTCTTCAATTGGATAAAACATTTAAAACAAACAAAAAATATGTGAAAAACAAACAAAAACAACAGATTTTTCACACAATAAGTCACTTATGATTACAATTAATGTCTAAGTTTTTAATTAATGTCTTTTTGATTGTACTGTATTTAAAAGTCCGACAAAAAAATAACACAAATAAATATGCACTTTAAAAGTCAATTGACATATAGTTTTGCAAATTATTATTATTATTATTATTGGTATTATTTATTAATGGTTTAGTTATTGGTGTGAAACAATTGTCAAATTAATTATTAAATTAAATTAAAACTATTAAACTTGTTGAAAACAAAAATAAACAAGTAGATTTTGTGCTCCAATTTGGAGATTATTACTCAAAACAATAACTATTATTAAATGAATATCTAATATGTAAATAAGTGTCACTAAAAATAACTATAAATTAATTCACTAATGCATATGCATACATAAATAATAATACAAATAAATAAAGCCTATTTCAAAAGGACATTGCTCAGTTGAATACTCGGTGTACATGTTTGGCATTTGGCGACACAAACATTGTGTGTGAGTCCACAAGTGTGAGTATCAGTCATCAAGGTATTATCCATGCACTCATCGCAATGAATGGTGTGGTGAATGGCCTTTCAATGGTCCACTCATTCATGTGTTTGTCGTCTAATATAATGTCCAATAAATATTCAATAATAATAATACAAACACTTAGATATAAACACAATAGAAATCGCTCACAAAGTCAGCCATTATTTCATCTCATATTTCAATTACTCAATACTTTTTACAGTCAATATCACCACTAATTACGTTTCCTATAGTGCCCTCCCGGAGCGTTCACCACCAATCACTGCCTGTGAGAAATTCATGCAACACTACCCGCCCCCACACCTCTCACCCCCCTGTGACTGAGGGGACCTCCTGTTTAAAATTACAACCCTTATAACGCCTATACCCCTCACCCCCTCCCGTACCCAATGACTGCAATATTCATTTACATTAACCATCACTAGGCGTTCAGTAGTTATTTTAACTATAAGATAGTTTTGAAATGACCCAGGTGATAACGGTGGTGATTATAATAACCGCACTATAATTTTATATTCATTTTATTGTAAATTTTATATGAATTCTTAAATAAACTAAAAAATAAAATACAAATCTTTTGATTCATTTGTTTTTTGTTAACAAAATCTATAAAATAAATATCAATAAAAATGGTATCAATTGGTGCGCCGACTGTCAGTCCCAGTCGTCGCTGGTGTCGAGGTCTTCGGGCGGGACGGGAGGCGGCGGCGGAGGAATCATCGCTGAGATGCGCTGCATCGCCGACGAGGGGTCGACCGGCTGTGTGGGCGGCGGTGGTGTCGCCTCTTTGGCCGCATTCGCACCGCTGATGCCTTTGCGACGCATCGACAGCTTATTGAAGAGGTCTGTCATGAGGTCTCCGGTGACGACCGGCTTCTCCTTGGCTTTCTTCGCCTCAATCTTGCGTTCGATCACAACATTTGTCGACTTCTTAGGCTTTCCGGCGGCCGCTCGGATCGACTCCAGAAGGCTGGCTCTCGACGTATCGATCGCCGCGTTTTGTGCAACACTTTTAGCCACCGGTGCTGTCGATTGAGATTTCGGTGGATTTGGCACTGAATTCGTGGCCTCTTTTGGTACGACTGGTGGCGGAGAGGGCGGCGGTGGAGGGGGCGGCGGAGGGGGAGGCGGCGGTGGCACTGATGGCGGCGGAGGGCATACCAGTGGATCCGTTTGTTGCGGTTTTTGAGATACTGTTTGGCTTACGGATGGCAAGTGTTGGGTCCGGTTGACAGCCAATGCTTGACTGGGTTTGACATTTGGATCAATTCCGGTGATGTCAGGCAACTGTGGAATCAGTGAATTGAGGTGAGGAATGGTTGAGCTGAGGAACTCTTCGTCCAATTGTGTGAACGCGATGTCGTCGGCGATGCCCGGAAGTGATGGCAGGGCTTGTGGTAAGTCATCCATGATCTGTGGCGGTGACCGCACTTCCGGCAAATAGTGAAGACTCTCGAGTTGCTCCGTCTGTTCGCTGTTTAGTATGGATTCCGGGGCTTTGAATATATCGTTGTTCTGGACACTCATCTCCTGAAGTCTCTTCGACCGGATCTTTTGGTCATATATTGACGAACCTATGGGTCGATCACAAGTCAGTGATAAACACTTCCACTAAACGACATCATCTATAATCTGAACAAACCTTGAGATCGTCTTAGGTATGGATTGTCAGCCGTATTGAACACCAGAAGCGATGACAGGGAAGTTATTCGATGCCACGGAATGGCTCCCAACGGATCCGTTGACTTAACGTTAGACAAGTCATAAAAGTCGAAACACTCGTCACTCTTATGGCTAGTCTTGGGAATCGAGAAGAACTGTGTCTTCTCTTTGAGCAGCTGTTCATCGAATGGTATATGACTTGAAGTGATCCTAATGTCTGGTCGCCGGTGACTATCACCACAATTGGTGCCAAAGTCGCGGCCAATGATTGTGGCGAAAGTGTGTGGCGAAGACACCTCCTCTTTGGGGTACTTATAGTTGGCGTATATTTTGGTCGCTTTGTTGGCCAACTGCCGGATCTGTTGGATCTTTTGGACGCAATTATGTCTTCGCTCATTGATGTCCAGCAGCTTCTCGTTCATCGATTGGATCCTCTGATCAATGCTTTTGAAGATTTGGTCGCTGAATGAAGACAACTGATCCAAACTGACGATGATTTGTGTCATCATCTCCTCTCTCCTCATGTTATGTGATATCAATTGAATTGGATTTGTCTTCTCGTTGTCCATCGCTGCCGAAGACTCGCCGCAACTCAAACACCAAATCAAATGACAACTGATTTAGAGATTTGTCACAAAAATCATGTGTTTTTGTAAACAAAACTCAATTCAAAAGACATTTAAATTTTTACACATAAATTATGTTTCAATTTTTGCCCCAAATGTTTGACTCCTTTTTACAAATTCAAGTTTTCTTATAATGTTGAGAATTTCACTAATTTATGAGACAGGTCTATTAACACTACTGTGTATATTATAACAGTTAATAATCAAGTAAATTATGATATGAGTTTATTTTAATATTATTAAAATATTTTAATGAATCCCCTTTTAAATAAAGTATAATTTTAGAATACACCCACTATGATACCACATAATACACTGTACTGTATTCAATACAGTGTATTGTATTTTATTTCAATAAGCAAGGTTGATACTATCTATTTACTAAATCCATAACTAATTTTAGTATTGTATTATTCAATATTTAAACTAGTTTATAATTTTAATAGATTTTATCAGGGAAATTAAAATATTAATAATACAAACAAATTAGTTATAAATGGATGTAATGTATACTAAACTCATTCACTAAACTTAAACTTTAATAAATTATAAAGAATAAGTGCTAATGAATAATGCAGCTATTTCTATTTTATATAATTTTTAAATCTTATGATATACTGTATACCGTTTGACAGAATTATATTTTTTAGTACAATGATAAGGAAATATTTCGTTTGACTTTTTTTAAAAATAATAGTAATGTTGTATATGTTGTAAAATACCGTATAAAGAATTATTTTAACTTATATTTAAAACTAATTAATTTTAGAAAGTATACTGTATTTAGTTTAAACGTCAAATTACATTTTAGTCAAATCAAGGAAATAAAACTTTTCAATTTGACAAACATTAACAATTTAAAATTTGTGATTATTTTCTACAAAGTAGGATTTGCTTAGCAAATACAATGTACTGTAGTACTTTAATCCAAAATAAAATACAATACTATGCCATTAAGCAATCAATAATAAAATTCATTCATGTATTACAAGAATTTTATATTTAGATAACATTTGATTGGATGCGAAAATAGTACAACAAAAAAATTATATTATTTTTGATTAAAAAACATACAAGATCTAATAATTATTGTTCAATAAATGAATGGTTTCATTGATTTAATATAATTATTGGGAACATCTGTGCGATTGGGACCTAATATCCAGATAAATGAAGCGAATCTTCACTATTCATGATATGTTCATAAAAAGCGATAATGAAATAAAATTGAGTTTTAAAAGTTTGGCACAAATTTTCTGACAACACAAACCGAAAAGTTCATCAAAACTTGGATTTATGTCAAAACTGTATTTCGTTTACTTCTAATACTAAAGCATCGCATAATTGATAGATAATTATGACTTCAATATATTTTCTGTTTCTAATTAGTCTTATCATAGGAATGAGTGGATCCCAAAAACATAATAAGGGAGACATCATTATTATCTATGGTGGCGGAGGTGGACACGGAGGCGGTGGTTATCATCACTATCACCAACAAAAACAAATAAGTATAAGTTTTTATACATTTAAAAATAGTTTTGCAATTATTTTGAAGAGTATTTTATTGGTTATTATATGAAAGATTACTGTACTTTGTAACATTATCTGTATTAATAGTTCCCATTCCTATACCAATTCCCACGCATTATGGCGGCGGCGGTGGTGGTGGACATGGAGGTTATGGACATTATGGTGGTGGTTACGGAGGGTATATTTGACAGTATTATTAAATTTATTTATTTTTAAAAATTGATTGTCTCTTCATTTATAGTCACGATTGGCGCTAATTATAGAATTTGATAATTTTTTATATCAACTCTATATAGTATAACCAAGCACCTTAGTTAAGAGCTTTATGCTATGAGCTTTATCTAGAAAATACTTTATAACTAAGAATTCTGTTATTGATAATAGAAAAGTACAAATTTTATAAACTTTGTTTATTAGGAAGTCATTGGTAAAAAGTTTTTCATTTTGTATTCATATGTAAATGCATACATTATAATTTGTAATTAAGTAGAAATTAATAAATCGGAAATTTATATATATTAGTATTATTTTATTTTATTCTCTATTCTACAGTTTTAATGACTTACCATTGAGTTAGACATGAAATGACCAAACGTTGAAGTGATATCTCTATAATTCAATCACTGATTTATTATGAAATGTAGATCTAGTGGTTGTTGTAAATATATAATAAGTTTGGTATTTTGGGCAATTATTGGACTCAACAACTATTATTTAATCGATTCACACAAATTACTTCCACATTCTTGTATGAAGTGTATGAATGAAATGTAGCAAATATGTATGAAATGTACAATTTGTATGAAAAGCAAGTTTTTGTATAACTTTCTGAATAAGTGTTATTGTCATTCAAACTATAATTACATGAAAACGATAGTATTTTTATGCGAATATAAAAAAGTTAACTACAATACAATTGAAAGTACATTTTTGTCCACTTATTAGGTCTATTACCAAGCAATATTTTCTGTAGTACTGTATAGAATCTATACAAAATAAAATTAAGGTTATTATAGAAAGTTGGCTATTAAGTGCCCAAACCATACATTAAATTATAGCAATCATTAAGTTTTATTTGAGATAAAATACATACAAAAAGCATTGCATTGATTTGAGTAATTACTTATGGTTTACATGAGAGACCGTTTGATGGGATAATAAGTTGAAAAAATTATACTACTTATTGATAATCAATATATAGTATCACAAAACAAGAAAAATAACGGTCAGTGAGCCGTAAATTACATAAATAAAAGTAATGTAGAAATAAAAATCAAATTTATTATATGATTAGCATTCCGCTACAACTCATATCACATTTGTATTTCATTATAACAAAAGTCTTTACAAAAGTATTAAGGATTTTCATCATAAACTTTTAACATTAAGTTAATTAATACATAAAAATGTTAAAATTGATTACTCTCGTTGTGTTATGTGTTATTTATTCTGTAAATTGTCAACTTGGTCATCAAATGGGAGGCGATATTATCATAATTGGCGGCGGAGGTGGTAGTGGTGGTGGTGGCGGCGGTGGTTATCATCATTATCACCAACAAAAACAAATAAGTAATATAATTTTCTATATTTAATAAATATAATGAATATCACTAATGATATGTAAATATAGTTCCGATTCCGATACCAATTCCGGTCCATTCTGGAGGAGGTGGCAGTCATTACTATCATTCTGACCAAAGTCATGAGCAGGGTCATTATGGTGGTTACGGCGGTGGTGGTGGTGGCGGCGGCGGCGGTGGATATGGGTATGAATTTATTATTATTTATAAAAATTATCAAATATATACATAATATTATCATTATTTTTCATTTTTATTCAATTCTTCAGACATGGATGGCGTCGAAAATAATGCTTTTATTACTAGAAATTTCATATCATTTGTTCATTTAACTAATTTCCTAATCTCTCAACTCAAACAAAACAAATATTTCTATTGTTTGTAACTATAAAGTCAGTGTCATTTCATTTATGTATTTCAATTGTATGGTCATACATTAAATTCTAGTAGCCTATAATCAGATTTAAAGTTAAACCAATAAATTAAGTGTCATTTTATGTAAATTAAAATTTTATGTAACTGTTTGTGAAGAATTTCTAAACTGTTATTTGTATACTGTTTGTTAAAATACCAAAACTTGAAAACATTTCTGATTCAAACAACAAATAAAAAATATAGTATATTTTTTATAAATTAAATAAACTATAATAAATGTGATCTAAATTTATAGTCTATAAAGAAATTATATTAATAGATATTAAAGTTATTTTAGTATTCAATTCCAATAAATACCTTTTGTGTTAATATCATTGTATTTCTATTTCATTTATTTTTAGTAATAAACAATTGATTCAATGATAAGAAAATAATTGAATTTTTTAAATAACTCAATTAAAATTTACATTCAAAATCATATACCAACTAAAATAATAAAATAATTATGAACTCCAATGACCCATGGATTAACACAAATCAATAAAATATAATAAATAAGTTGTTATACGGTATAGAAATCTTGAGTTTTAAAAATAAAACTCATTTTTGGATTAAATTCAATAGCAATTAATTAGTGGAAAATCATTGAACTATATCTACAGAAGGGATAAATAGACTCTTAATTAAAGAGATGAAACAAAACCATTTTTTAGATGAGTGCCAAATGTTATATAAGTGTCGATATGTTTGACATTCAATTCATACAGAATTTGATTGGTTTTGAAGTGGTGTCTCAAAGTTTGCCAAACTTGGTGTCATTGAAATGTTTAAATCAGGGGTTTTTGTGTTCATAGTCTTAGTGGTAAACCTGATCGCAAACACCAATTGTGCCCAAAATTACCGAAAGCGTCCCATTTATATAATCAATGGGCCGCCCGGTGTGCCTGGATATGGACTGCCTTACCCACAATACAGGAATAATTGTAATATAAAATGTTATATTCGTTATACAAATATAATGTATTAATTCACGGCAACAGATCCTGTTGTACTGCCCATCCCTTACAGCCCTACTGGATATTATGGAGGATATGGAGGTTTTGGTCCTGGCATTGGAGGCTATGGTATTACTATACCAACGAGTATATTAGAAAAGTTTGAACATAATATGATATAATCTATAATTATAGTCTTTTAACACTAATTAATATTCTGTTTATTTTAGTTTGGATTTGATTTAAATTCAAATTAAAAGCCATTTAAAATTGATTCTTACTAATGGGTATAGTTGTGGCATAAAGTTATAGACCTTGCTGTTAATATAGAATTCTCATTTGGTATCATAATATCCTTATTTATTGTTTATATTTTATATTTGTATAGAGAATAATACATTTCGCACAAAACTTATTGTATGATTAGTTTAATTGTAATAAGAAATACTGTAATCGTGTTATGTTTTGTAACAAAACTTACTTTATGTTGTTCAAATTGTTGCTGTAATCAAAATTGCAATACTTGTTAATAAATGTTTAAACTGTGTAATAAATCTTAATGTTAT